TTTTTCTATTAAAAAACATTTAATTAATTAATATTTATTTTTAATATTAGGGAAGTATACTTGTATTTGATAGATTTGAAAGACAATTTATAGATACATCATTGTTGACTTAACTTGGATTTTCACCAAAATACAAATCATATTATTATATTACCACAGAATTGCGTAAGAAAAGTAATTTAGTTGTTGGGGAAAAATTGCATTTATGAGTCTAATATATATTTGAGCCAGAGTTAAAAGTTGTATTTAGAGAGATATTGCATTTAAAGAGGTTATATATTGCATGTGTTTATGTCTAGATAATCATTAATTTAGCTAATTTGATTTATTTTGATAATGGGAGGAGTTCAATAGAAATGAGACAAATTTTTAAATGAAAGTTTTTCAAACTTTAAGTTAAAATATCTTAGCAACTATCAAACCAAATTTAATAAATTTTTTTGTTTTAATTTTATATAGTTATAGAATTAAAATAAAAAATTTTGTTTAATAATTATTGAGGTTTTTTAGTTTAAAATGGTAAAATTATTTATCTTATTTCTATTAACTCCTCCAAATTTTTAGCCCTGGACAATTAAAAGTGTCTGCTTCTCTAGCAATTAATTGTTTAGTAAATATATATGATTAATATGCATCTATTTGTAGGAACTTTTTCAACAATGAGTAGAAATATAGTAAGCTCTGTATATATTCAGCCAAAAACAATGACCTTGCAAATCGAAAAAGAACAAAAGTAAATTTTTTTTGATTGCTTTTTACTTATTATTATGATAATCGTATTATTATTTCATTAGGAGTCGTACTGTAAGTCTTATATGTTTGGTATAATTTTTTTTTTCGAAATATTAATTAATATTAATTAGTTTGTAGATGTTATAGGAACTACCACAGCTATTTATGGACTGATACTGAGTTTTTACCTTTTTTTATTTCGCAAGTAGTTTTTCTATAAATTATAAATTATTTTAGCATAAAATTAATTTTTATTTGTATCTTAGAAAAAGAATTAAGCGGGAAACCCTATGGCCTTATTAAGAGATTTGTTTTTTTTGAAGGGTCTTCAGAAAAGTCTTTTAAAGAGAGGATCAAAGATCCTTTAGAAAAATCACTGGTCAAAAGGATTGAAGATTTAGAATCTAAAATAGAACAACTCAGTGGGTCTAC